TTCCTTGGTTGGTGGGTTGGTTGGTGGATTGATTGGTTGGTTGGTTGGTTGGTTGGTGGGTGGGTTGGTGGGTGGGTTGGTTGGAAGAACCTCATCCCAATTCTCTCCCCCCATGTATCCAGACTCGGAAAAGCGCCGATTGGTTGGCCAAGGAGATGAGCCATGATGGTCACCAAGTCGCCATCCTGACGGCGGAGTTGATGGTCGCCCAACGTGCCAACGTCATCCAACGTTTCCGTGACGGGAAGGAGAAAGTTCTCATCGCCACCAACGTCTGCGCCAGAGGTAACGCCGGAAAACTCAACTCCGGTGGCTTGAAACGCCGTTTCCTCTGGGACTCCTCTTGGATCCACACCCTTTCCTCTTTTTTTTCCCCTTTTTTGGGTTTTTTTGGATTTTTTTTTTTTCAGGGATCGACGTGCAACAAGTCACCATTGTGGTGAACTTCAACCTTCCCACCGACCAGACGGGCAGACCGGATTTCGAGACGTATCTGCACCGAATCGGCAGGACGGGGCGCTTCGGGAAGAAGGGCGTGGCCTTCAGCATGGTGGAAACCCGCCAGGTCCAGCTGGTGAAGATGATCGAGGAGCATTTCCGTGAGTACCCGCCTGGAGGCTGGGACCCGTGATCCCTTTTCACCTGTGGAAAACGAGCCTTAAATCATCACTTTTGGATCCGAAAATGGATTTTTTATGGGATTTGTAAGATGTTGTGGTTACTTTTTAAATCCTAATTCCCATTTTTCCTTAATTTTATGGGAAAAAACCAGGTTCTTGAAACATTTTAACCTGCACAAAAGCCGCAGAGTGGCTCCGGGGAATTTTTCCACCAGTTCTTGGAGCCACCGGGTTTGTTTTTTTATTAATTTATTTGTTTTTTTATTAATTTACTTGTTTTTTTAATTAATTTATTTGTTTTTTTATTAATTTATTAATTACCAAATTAATAATTTTTTATTATTATTATTATTTCCTTCTTCCAGAAACCAAAATCAAGGAGCTGGATCCGGATGATATGGATGAGCTGGAGAAGCTTGAAAATTGAGTGAGCCCGTTGGGGATTTGCTTCCCCCCCCCCAAAAAAAAATCCCAATTTTGGTTAAAAATGGCAGAGTTAAAAAGGGAAAATTTCCCAATTCCTGGAATTTCCTGAAGGTTTGGTTGGGATGTTTTAGGAGAAGGCAGAGGGGGAACCCTCAGATTTTTCTCCTTGGTTTGGGATGTTCCTTGGTTTACCCCTAAAGTTTTCAGAGTTTAAGGAATTTCACCCCTCCCAGGGGTATAAATTGGGGTGACACACCTCAAAAATGGGTCAGAAAATGGGAAAATTCAGGTAACTGACCCCCCCAAAACAAAATGTGCTGCTTGGCTCCGGGCAGCAAAATCCTGGAGAGAAAATGAATTTAAAAAATTAAAAATGGAGAAAGGAGCAAGTTCTAAAAACTGGAATAATTCAGTCTCGGCAGGTGGCAGCAGCCGCCCGAAAATGTGGAAATTTGGGGTCACAGGTATTTGGGGTGACGAATGTTTGGGGCTCACAAGTCTTTGGGGTCACAAGTATTTGGGGACATGATTATTTGAGACCCCGAGTATCTGGGGACACGAGTATTTGGGGGTCACGAGTATTTGGGGACACGAATGTTTGGGGACATGAATGTTTGGGGTCATGAGTCTTTGGGGAACATGAGCCTTTGGGGACACAATTATTTGGGGACCTGAGTGTTTGGGGACACGAATATCTGGGGTCACAAGTCTTTGGGGACACGGGTCTTTATTTGGGGTCATGATTATTTGGGACTCCGAGTATTTGGGGTCATGAATATCTGGGGTCACAAGTCTTTGGGGACACGAATCTTTGGGCTCACAGATGTTTGGGGACACATGTCTTTGGGGACACAAATGTTTGGGAACCCAAATATTTGGGGACATGAGTCTTTGGAGTCACGAGTCTTTGGGGTCATGAGTATTTAGGAAAATGAGTATTTGGGGTCACGAATATTTGGGGTCACAAGTCTTTGGGGACACGGGTCTTTATTTTGGGTCATGAGTATTTGGGGTCATGAATATCTGGGGACACGAGTATTTGGAGTCACAAGTATTTGGGGACATGAATATCTGGGGACACAGGTATTTGGGGACACGAATATTTGGGGGGTCACGAGT